GATATTCCTAACCCTAAATCTAAGGATATGATAATTATTACGTGACAAATATACTGTAAAACTTCAAGTATTCAGAATACTTATGAAAATGGAAAATGTGAAGGGTGTGACAGAAATTTTCTGGATGCTTGGTGATAAATAATACTTTGCGTAGCAGATTTTTCCAGAAATTTGTATTATTTAATCATGAAAGATAATATTGAATTACAGATATGTATTATAAGATTTAGAGAATATACGTTTTAAATCTATTAACATTGTCATTCAACGTAGTAGAAGGAGGTCCAAAAAATGATCAAGAAAACAGTGAAGTATTTAAAAAAATGATCAAGAAAAAGGAGAAGGTTCAAAAAAGTCTAACGTAATTCCTCGAGATTTACAGAAATAATTACAAGTTTTTTACAGGCAGTTTGACTTTTGAGACTTTATTTTAAGTCAATTCTAACAAAAAGAAAAAAACAACGTAATACAGGAGAATGTGAATCACCGAGCTTTTCACTTTAAATAACTATTTAGCTTCTTCGTATTCTTGATTTTTCAATTAAATAGGTATTGTATAGTTGTTCTTTTAATTGTAATCAGTCTTACAAAATATATTTATTCTATAAATATTAATTTAAAATTTATAAAACTTTAGATATTAAATGTCTTAATGTAGTTAGTGAGAAAACTGTAGAAAAGTTGTATTCAATATTTTCATATAGTACAACGTATTCTGTCCAATCAATTACGATTGCTTGATTTTATTTGCGAAAAAGGATTTAATAAAGAGTTTTTTATTTGTATATTTTATGTATCATTCTGGTAAAAGAATGGGAATATTGACGCATTATCACATAGAACCAACATTGGCAATATCATTTTTTGGATCAGGATAAAAGATTTGTAGTTTTATCATCATGATGGATAAATTTACTGCTAAAATAGATTATTAAACTTGTGCAGGATTTTTTTTTTATTCATTGCTGATCAGTACCAATATATAAATATTTGCTACCACAGTTAACTTTTCGCTTTATTAACACAGTAATATGTTGCATACTGTATGTAAAGACCCTGTAACACGTATATTTCTACGCCAATGCCCTACGTCTATATCGAATAATAACCCTCCGAACACACCTATCATCTAATAAACCTACTATACACATACCTTTTTAGGCCGCATGGAGTCTTCATTCAAAGCATCTTTGGAAAATCAATGCTTAATGGTAATTTACTATTATGCGGAAAGTGCTAGTCTGACAATGCATACAGGTAATCGGAATCTTCCCACCTTAATTTTCTCTTATTCGTTTGGAACGAACTCTCAAGCAGTGGTATGTCTTTTGTACCGCAAATAAGGTTCTCTGAATAAAATTATGGTGTTAGTATATTCCACGACCCCAGCAGAATAGTAGAAAAAAAAAAAAAAAATGCCAAGAAAATTTTCCGAACGATCTCTCGAGGATTATGACATGACGATCCCGGAATACAAAAGTTTAACATATGAATTTTAAATGATCATGGGGGTATAATGTTTCGCAACTTGAGGTTAATAATACTCCTCTGCATTCTTTTTCTCTTTTTTATTTGATGAAAATAGATAGAGGAAGTTAGTATGTATTTTTTTTTCTTTCGAATGTATATCGTGTTACATGATGATGCTAAAATAATTAGGTTATTCTGGCTTTCGTTGGATCAAATCCAACAAGGTTGCCAAGAAAAAATTTATTAAGCACTTTTTATTAATCCAATACAAATACCAAACATACACCCGTACCACGCTTATTAAATATCAAAATGTGAGCGAACTAATTTAGATTCAGAGGTTTGTTTGATCAACTCCTATCTGAAGTTGCTCAATGCTTCAAAACAGCAATATATGGAGAAGCAATGGCGTAATTGGAATTTCTGTTATCCATGCCGCATGAAGGATGTCAAGAGCCTTTCCTTCTTGGTTCACAACACATTTGAATGCAAATGTTAATTGTCAATCAAATCACACAGTAGGATAACATAGCTGGCGCATTTCATTGATTTTTTCGACCTTTGGCGCCTTCATATAATCAATGAATATTCCTTTGTTAACGTCGTTACTTTAAGAGGGATTTCTCCTTGCTTTTTTGAGTAATCAATGTTTTGGTTTCTTTGAACAATGGAAACAGCAAAATAAATAGGGAATTTTCCAGAATAAGACCTGTAACCTTTCCTACTTTAAAGACATCGATATCAACAACGACATCACATTCTTCATATGAATAAAAGTCATTTAGACATGTGTCTTCAGAAAAGTTTTGCCTTTTTGAAGTCCTCTGGGAAATTGAAAATTTGTTTGGGCGAAATGTACGATTGTTGTTACTGAAAATACAAAATGCTTTTTATGTATTTTAGAGAAAAAGTTATCTCGCATTCCACGCCCCATACACGCTAGAGTTGATTTCTACATTTCTTCTGAAATTTTTATGTACGTTTTATTATTTATACTCTTGCCATTTTAACAAATGACTCCTTCAAATTATCTAGATTAAAAAAGCCTTTTCTAGTGCTCGAATTGCTAAACCTACATACATGCTCACATGAGAGGATATCAATCTGTCTCGAGTTTTTATCATTTACGAAATCACTGGAGTTCCTAAGATTCAATTATTCCTATACTCGACCCTAACATAACATTCTCCTGATAAAATTGACAAGCACTTGCATTAAAACCATAGGGAGTTGCAACGCAAGCCTCAACTATATCTGTTAGATATCCGAGAGTCTTATCCGGGAATTTGACACACCCACGGCGCAGAATGCCCTTCTGGCGATCATATAGTATGATAGCGGGATTTCAGTAAACTTGCCTTTGTTTCGCTTATGGCCGATGTTCATGCCGACAATACTTGGTGTACAATTATACAATTTATAAAGCATAATACAATATTGGGTTTATAAACATATATAACTTTATGCTGTAAAATTATATACCTTTATATATAAATTTAAATATTACCTTAAATATTAATGGCTATTAGCAATATTATATGAGATAGTATCTGTAATTGATGAAAATTCTGCATCTATAGTTGTAACCTAGTTACATCCTTTTAAATGACAACTAAATTAGGAAATAAAATATATCTGTAATGAGTTTATGAATAGGATGAGAAACAACTTCAATGAAAGAA